TACAACACCTAGGACTCCTTGGCAAGATTATTCATCCATTTATACTACTACTGCAAAATTTTGTCAATTGAATTAATCTTGCAAACTAGCACTTAATTGACCAATACATCTTGCAATCATTATCAAAGGACGTTTTTTTTTTTTCTTGAAAAGTTTTAGCATCTCATTGACTTTGAGATATGAATGGTCCTGTTTCACTGAAAAATACTTGATAATAAAGAAGAACAGTTAGCAGGGAGAGAGAAAAATGACATCTCATTTTGTCCTCACCAGGGTCCAGGGTTCTTTTGTAAAATAAAAAAAATGTGATGTTGGTAATACTAAATGATAGGAGAAATCTTGAAGACCATTCTAACTAACCTTTTTTAAACTGATATTGAGATGGCCTTCTCTATATTCTGTCATTTTTATTGTTACCAACTTTGAATTTTCATTATTTTACGTTGGCACCCTGAAGAGGACAGAATGGAAAGACTTATTTTTGTCTCTCTCAAAAGTACCTGAACAACTACTTACTCTATTATAAATGATTGTGATGATGTGGACAATTTTCATTAAAAAGTGTCCACATGATCTATCATTCAAGTTGATCATCATTTTTATATAATTTTATTCATAGTTTCAGGGAAACATGAAGTTTTTTATTAATTATTCCAGATTTTTTGGGAATTTCTCGTTCCTATAAAGTGAAAATATGAGTCATATTTCCATCTACATGTACAATCAGATGATTTGTAAAATCTTGAAATTCCCTGAAAATTAGAATTCTGAAATTTGGGGAATTTCCATAGGAATTGAATTTCCAGTTTCCCATACTTTTAAAAATAATTTTAATATTTCAGAAAATGTAGCAGTTGAATGATCCACGGGATGATTATGGGAAAATTAAATTTTCCATGACCATCTTCAGATTTTTCAATGATCACAGTCAATAATTCAAAAAAATATATTTGTGATCATAAAGCATCAATTTTGAATCTCGTGGATAGTTGAATACTTTCAGAATTCAGTTCAAATATCCAGTGTACAAATATTTCGGAAAATTTATTAAGGTATTTTTTGAGGTTATAAAAAAATCCAGCAAATAATCAATGAGATGCTAAAACAACAAATATTTCCACTTTGTTTTCCAATATTTGGAAACTAATCGTGGTTTTCTATGATTTTGTGGCAGTGTGAAGTAAACCAACTTCCTCCTTGTGCCCCAACAACTCTCTGACGAGTATTTTGTAAAAATCCAGATGTGCCTTGCTTCCGGGAAAGCTCAAATAGGTTTCGTAATTTCATACGTTTCTTTTTTATCAGGGAGATGAAATTCGGGTGCCAATTTTGTTGGCGATCTCGAAATCGTACAATTATTTATATTGTAAGGTTGCTAGTTGTGCTGTTTCTTCAGTTTTCATTTGGTTAGTTTTTGTAATTAGATTATTTTATGGTTTGTCTTCGAATTGTTTTGCAGGTTTGCATCAGATGATATTTAGTGCAAGAGTGATATTAAAATGTTGAGACTCTTTAGAACCGTCTTATTTTTTCATTTTACTCCACCCTACCAACAAATTATGATTCCAGCCCTAAATGTTCCCCTTTTAAACATAATTCTTCCCTTCAGAATTTGGTTGTCAGCACTAAAATTGCAATAAGAGAGAATTCACTTGAAACAGAAAGAGGTACTTGTGCAAAATCGGTATTGTTTTGATTTTATGTCATGTATTCAAATGAATACATTGTGAGTGGTAGGTAAAATGGACAATACAGTGTGTCCCACTTACCATGCTCACCATGGGTATCTTTTAAACGGTGAGAGATACGAGGTCTGTTAAATGACACCAAATGTGGAGTTTGTCAAGGCCAACTATAATGTGAAAAAATATTTCGATGAAATCTATTTGTTTTTGTTTTATACGCAAAAAACAGATTTTGATCATTTTCATGTCTCCTCCGTAACTTCTTTATTTATGAAAATATTCAAATAGGAATTTCACATTCTCATGGCAGTTTTTCAAAGTGATTACGAAAAAAATATGAAATGTATACCAACTCTTCTAGAATGTGAGATATCAGCACCAACTTCAGTTTTTCATATGTAGGTCATAGCTCACTATGACTTATTTACAAATAACTTTTTTTTCTCTTACAGATGATATGTCGCAGTGATAGTTTTGTGTTGATAACAACGGAGTTATCGTCATTTATACAAAAACAATAAATTATTTGGAAGCCGCCATCTTGAATTTTTAAATTTTAACAAGAAAATCATGATCTCCGACCTCAAAAACCCCCACTCACCAATTTTGAATGAAATCGGACCAAATCTTGTTATGGAATTTTTGTTGAAATTGAAAAAAATGGCTGCTCCAAGATGGAGGACAAAATTTGGTCCGATACCATTCAAAATTGGTAAGTGGGGGTTTTTGAGGTCGGAGATCATGATTTTTTTGTAAAAATTTATAAATTCAAGATGGCTTCCAAATAATTTTTTGTTTTTGTGTAAATGACGATAACTCCGTTGTTATCAATACAAAACTATTACTGCGACATATCACCTGTAAAAGAAAAAAAGTTATTTGTAACTAAGTCATAGTGAGCTATTACCTACATTTGAAAAACTAAAGTTGTTGCTGATATCTCAAATTCTAGAAGAGTTGGTATAAATTTCATATTCTTTTCGAAATCACTTTGAAAAACTGCCATATGAGAATGTGAAATTCCAATTTGAATATTTTCATAATAAAGAAGTTACGGAGGAGACATGAAAATGATCAAAATCTGTTTTTTTGCATATAAAACAAAAACGAATAGATTTTATCAAAATATTTTTTCACATTATAGTTGGCCTTGACAAACTCCACATTTGGTGTCATTTAACCGACCTCGTATCTCTCAACGTTAAAAAGATACCCATGGTGAGCATGGTGAGTGGGACACACTGTATATTATCTATTTTTCATTCAGAATAATTATAATCAAGAAACTGAATTGCCATCCTATGTATTTAGTGTGGTATCGTAAAACACAGTTTTCATGTTTTCATATTTCACTCACAAACGTGACTGCCCCTTTCAATCATTTCCAACAATTCCTCATCATTCAAAGAATTCCTAAGATTACGTTTCGAACTCTAAAAGTACTGGAGGTGAACCAATGTTTGCTTAGCTGAATTTGGTGACGGAGATTGCTTACAATAAAGTATAGCTTTGGTGGAGTCGACTGTAAAAATTTTGTCCTGTCCTATTGCCTTCACTCCACTGTAAGATGGATCGCTTCAGATGTTCTTATACTAGTACTTGCTTGACATAGCACCTCATGGCGCAGTCGGTATTTTGATTCGAATTAAGTGAAGTGGTTCTTTGTCGTCATTTGTTAAGAATTTCTGGAAATGCCTCCCAAGAAGGAACAAGCCAGTTCGTCTCTGACGGTTTCCACGGATCCTCAGGAACTAATGAAACTGTTGATGCAGCAACAAGCTGTACTGCTGCAGGAAAACTTCCAACATCACCTAGCCACCCTCCACCGGTGAAGGCACTCCCAATGACTAAACTCAGCTCTCCAGAATCTCTATTCCACAGTTCAGGGATTGGAGATAACGTTGGGAAGACTACAGCATATATCTCAGCAGCTTCAGAGCCAACCCATTGATTCCCAACAAGGAATCCTAAGGTCAGTCCTGGATAATGAATGGACCATGCTCTGGAACTCTAGTAGAATCAGAATTGCACCATCGTCAGGCATTCCACCGACGAGATCAACAAGCTACTTTGCAGCGCTGAAAGAGCTCGATGATGCCTGCGACCACGAGTCAGAGTTCGAATACAAAACTTGCAATGATCCTTGCCACACAGAGTGCAATAAGTGTAGCATCACGTTCTAGTTAACAAGCCATCTTCAAGAGATCTGGATACGGGACCGACTAATCTGTGGACTTATCGACGAAGACATGCCACGGAGTTTTAACTGAAAAATACACCTCAGAGATTACTCTGGACCATGTTATCTATTTGCACAGCAGTAAAAAATTCGAAAAAAGTGAGTGCTTCGTTTTAGCTAATACCGCGCAGTTTCCACTAGACAGCTGCAGCTAGGAGCAGGTCACCTCACAAGAAAGAGCAGCAATCACTCAAGAAAATTGGGTGCAACCCAACATGTTTACGCTGTGGAAAAGATAGACACCTTAATGAAGTGTCCCGCAAAAAATCAGAAGTGTGAGTACTGTCACCGTGTTGGCCACTACAAGAAAATTTGTATGAAACGGTCAAGGGCTGTTAACAAGAAGCTTCAAAGCTTCGAAACATGTCCCTGTAAGATTGCTTACATATATATATATAGCTTTGGTGGAGTCGACAGTAAGAATTTTGTCCTGTCCTATTACTAGTATTGTTTATTGTTTATTCAAAAACTAGCTTCCAGTCAGAAATAAAATTCTGGTATGAGGAAGTTGATTACAAACAACAATAATAAAATAATATAAGGTGACAACAACAACAAAAATCAAAAAAATCTAAAAATGCTAAATTGATCAAGTCATAAAAATAGTCACAGGGACTAATCAGTAGATGGCAAAGTATAAATTTTATCTATTTCGTAATGAAATCATGTGTTTTTTTTAAATTCAATTTTAAATTTTGAAATATGTCTGCAATTTTTTATATTATGTGGTAATTTATTAAATTCAGCAGAGCAGCGAATCTTCAATCTCAATCCCTACATTTTTTTATTAGTGCCTTTCGATAGTACACGTGGAGCTTTCTCAGTGTTTGGAATATTTGCACTATATTTCAATGCCCTGTAACAATCAGTCAACAAGCAATCAATTGTTTCAAGATTTATATAAATAAAGAGTACTTCAGTGTGAACCATACCTACAACCTCGTGAATAAATTTGATAATGAATTGAACTATTGGTTTTCAGATGACAGCACTTTTGGTCGATATCCTATAATATTATGAATATAAGATAGGATACATCGTGAATTGAAGGGATAAAAAACTTGTTACTATCCAGAAAAGAATTAGGACTTTAATGTATTCAATATTCCATGGAATACAGTATGAGCGAGAGGGTTAATAGGTATAAAATGTATTTTTCCACAAGAGCCTTTGAAGTAATCATTTTTAATACCTACCAAAATCTGAATTGAAGCTTCACTTGCAAGTCTTAGAACAGAAAGCTCTCAATCTTAGGAAACAAAATGTTGGATATCCAGTGTTTCGTCAAATTTCCATAAAGATTTTTTATCGTAGATTGACGCAGGTACACAAAAAAGGCAATAATAATCCCTATATTTCTATTCAGCGATACAACATTAAATCGAACTAAGATATAAAAACATTCGGAGCTAAAACAGCCACGTTATAAACAAAGTTACTTCTTGAGATTGAGAAGCATATCTCGGAAATCAGAATTCTTCTTTGGGGCCTCTCCAGTTCCACCTCCATTCGCACTTGGATCCGATTTACCTAATAATTCAACTTGTTAAAAAGTACATAATACCTATTATAGTTTTGAAACTTATATCGAAAATAACCCAGTTTTCGGAATATTCAGATCCGATGAATTGCGTGCAGTTGCGTTGCAGTCAGATGACCGACCCTTGAGGAGAAACATTGAAACACAAAACTCACTTTTCTTATTCGTTTACAAGTGATTAAAATAGTTTTTCACAATTATTTTTGCATACGAATCGTGTTTTTCGGCTATTCATGAATTAGCACATGCCATCACATATAGTGCTGTTGTACAATGCAGAAAAAATGCATCGGGAGACGAAGGAATCCGGCTGGTACATTATGATTTAAAAGTAGGTACCTACTATAAACAATCACGTATAGTTTTCATTTTTGGAATCTGGTAATTTCTCTGATTTCTCATCGGAATTACTTCTGCAATAGGAGCTAATAGAAATACTCCTGGAATTTCTAAAAGAATGCAATAAGATTGAATTCATGCAATCAAACGAGAGGACTGGTCTGACATGCTGACGAAATATGATCGTGTTTGTTGTAGACATTTTCAATCTATTAGCAGTATTATAGCTTCTATTGCAAAAGTGGCAGAAGGAATTTTAATAAGAAATGACCAAAGTTTCATATTCCTTCGTCTCTCGCTGCATTTTTGTGCATTTTACAACAGCACAGTGAGAAGGCATGCTTCAATTAATTGATTGGTATGACAAAATATTGTGAAAAACTATTTCAATCCTTTGATTCCTCTGTAAACAAATGAAAAAAGTGAAGTTGTGTTTCAATGTTTTACAGAAGAGTGAGATTGTTCAGGTACCGCACTTTTTAGGCTGAATTCAAAAATGTGAATAAATGAATGATTCTTGTTCAGGCGTGTTTTCAGAGTAATTTTGACGACATAATATGTTGGCAATTTCACCACAAAAATAAAAAATTGTGAGTTTTTTTTTAATAAAAAAATGTAACTACTCTAGTTTGACTTTGGAGAAATGCTCAATTCTACACTGAAATCAGTTTGAACATGAAATAACATGGCAAAAAGCAGAGAAAGAAAGAAATTAGAGTATTTATGAGGATTCCAACAATGATGGAAGTAAGATATGGTGTAATTACTGATGCGCTTTACTCGACCTCTCGAGAGCAGCGAGAGCAATGGTTCCGTTGATCTTCTAATAGATTGCACAATTATGACTTCTGTCAGTTTTGAAATTGTCGCAGATTTTTCGAAGTTAGAGTTGTTTAATTCCACTATTTCATATGTTCCGCGTACCTAAAATGGCATTTACCATTTTATTTCCACTCGTCACAGCAGCAATAGCAGCATCACCATCTAGCGGGAAAATGTAGAATCAACGTCTCGCTCATTGTGACGGAGAGAAATCATAGTAGGCCGGTCGAGTGATTTTTCTGAAATTTTCAATACGTAATAATGGCCGAATACGCACACCAAATCTTACTTCCATTATTCTGCGGACGAAAGGAAAAGTACTTGCCTTCAAAAATAGTCGATTTTTCATTCGGAAATCAGTAAGTCCGAGGTTGCATTGAAACTTGACTACTCCTTTTTTGCAGAGGTGACAACATCTCAATGCAGAGCCAGCTAAATCTGGCTATCAATTTTTTCGCCATATTAAGGTTTGTTAGGTTATGCAGATGGAAAAATGTGCTTATTCACACACACCTCAACTTCTTGCTCAGTTTTAAATTGTGTTCGAATTTCATTGGAATTGACAACATGATATGTATAATTATGAGGCCACTCCATCCATGATTCATTCATTATTTAAAAGAGTAAACAGATGATGAAAAATCTTTGCTAATTCAAAATGTCTTCTATAAAGAAAGAAATGCGTGAAATACTTCGGCCAATCGAGCGTACCGAATGCGGTATCCTGGGTGCTCGATACAAAAATGCACCCGGTTCTTGCACCTAGAGTCCCTGTATGTATAATTCCCTGTATATATTTGTCAGTTTTGTTGTAATAAGAGTACGGACACTATGACAAGCAGTGACGGAAGGCATATCCCCAAATTCTCAAAATGACTTTTGAACAAAGACATGGATATGCTTTTCCATGCACTTCGGATCTTCTATCCTCTACTGCCGCGGTGAAGGGTACATCCATATATCTTTCTCTGTCTTTATTTTCATAAAGAAGTGGTGTCTCATCTCACTGGCGAGAAGGGGTCATAGTTTGTAAATCAATTTGTTGAAAGTGTTAACGCCCCACGTTAACTTTAGGCTTAGTTTAATTTATAGTCTTTAATTCAGGTTTTTTATTAAAAGAAATAGGTACTTATTTTCATTAATTATTGATATCGTACTATGGGACAGATATTCGCTGTCACTCGGTAGATATATTTTTATATTCTTCACAATCGAAGTTTTGTTACTTTTTTCCATGCCTGTCAAAACTGGTTTTGTAGATGGACTGGCCGAGAAGTGTGGTGTGGTAAAAACTTGACTTAAAAATTTGACGAGGAGTTAGTTCGCGTCTGCTCTCATGGACGTTACTCTCTCGCTCTTCTCTCAACTCATATATATTGATTGAATTATATTGTACATACAAGTGAAATTTCATTAATGTGCCAACGAACCAGCCCTTCATACAGTCCACAAGCCCAGAAACCAGGATAAGGTGGTTGCAACCCCAAACTACGACTAGGAAGAGTCCAGGTGAGTCCTCTTTACTTGACCTTTTTTGACAGTCGTACAAGCAACCATACCTTATTAAGAATAAAATTAACAGAAAGTATTTCTCGATATACTTAACAAAGGGTATATTATGTACTTCAATTTATTTGATTTTAGGATTTTAGTTTTTCAATAGATAGAGTCAGGATTTAGTAGCCAGTTCTGATGGGCAGAATGTAAATGAATGGGAAGAACAATTCAACCAATTAACAAACTTATATTTGTTCTCATAACATACTAAGACACTTCATACGGCATGAACGATCAGAAAATTCGACAAATACAAGTATAATGATTATAATTCAAGAATAGTATATCCTATGACAAGAATACAAAATTTCAAATAATGGTTGAGTAAAGTGGGGTAATATGGCAACATAAAATTTAAATGCTCACAATCTAATAACTATCGCGCCTAGGTGAAAGACGATGGCTGCACGTTAGAGCTTACACAATATATTGTTGTGTCCAGAGTCGCTCGTTGCCATTTTTCTACACAGCAAAAGATTACAAGTAAAAATGCATAGTAATATATTGCCATATTACCCCATACCAAGGGTAATATGGCCTCACAGGTTGGGTAATATGGCAACATGCTATTCTCGTATAAGAAATAAAATATTTTATGAAATTGAAAAAAAAAAACTAGCATTTACAACATAACAGTATAAATTATCAAATTTCATGTCTCAGAGCTGTAGAGGTACTTGGTACCTACAATATACCAGGCTCGAAATTAATATTTGAAATTTTCCTATTTAAAGTTCGTAGCGATGGTAATTCATATTGAAATTTGAGTAATGTTTCATAACCGGATGATCCACACATGAATTTTATGACTAAAGCTTTTTCGACACTCTCTGCATTCCATCTATTACCATTATATTTAGAATTATGAGAAATATGTTGCTCATAAATAGCAACTTTACTCAGAATACCTTTTAATTTGTAATCGATTTCATTGATTCGCGTTTTAAAATACTGGAATTGATTATAATTTTGGTTGAAATATATTCCGACACTATCAATTTGGGTCTTGAGTCGATTCAAAATATTCGTAACTTGCAGTCTTGTTTCAGAATCTCTGCTTGAAGCTATTTTTCAAATGTTCGTCCTTTTCTTTGATTTTTTTTCTGTATCTTTCATCATTAACTATTAATAAATTTTGAATTTCGGCATATCTTCCCTCTAAATCTTCGATAATTTCTTGTTTGTGATCCACAATACATTTAATTTTATCTTGGTATTCTACTTGAATTTTTCCTCGTGAAAATTGTCCTGAATTCGATAAGGAATGTCTTCGATAATCCTTCTTATGATGGAATGAAGGCTCCGCATTTTCTTTCAATTTGATGTTATGTTCCACTAAGAAATCTTCACATTTGAAGTGCACCTATAATGTTAAAATTGAAATTATAAATGATATTATTCCTTCGAATATGCATCATATTCAATCGAAAAATTCAAATATTGAGTACTTACTTTGCAAATCTTGCTACCTGAATTCAATTTCCATAGTGGCCGCTTCATATTTTCTTACCATTTCTGTAACTGTTGTTGGTTAGAATGGGGGAAATGGAATAAATAAAAGTACTCGCTTCCATTTTCGCAATTCTCCACTACACAATTATAGACATTTTAATTTTTGAAAACCTGAATTTTCAAATAATTTAATGTCATGTACGTTCATGAACTATCAGTGCCCGCCAAATTGTTCATGTCATTTCAAATTTTTTAGGGTTATGCCTTCTGTCACTGCTTGTCATAGTGTCCGTACTCTTATAGGTCGCGTGCAAGAACTGTCAGATGACCGACCCTGGAGGCAAAACATATTTGTTTACAAGTGATCGAAATAGTTTTCCACTTGTTTTCCACAATTATTTTGGCATATGAATCGTATTTTTCCGCTATTCATCAATTCGCTAATGCCATCACATTGTGCTGTTGTAAAATGCACAAAAACTGCAGCAAAAGATGAAGAAATCCGGATGGTACATTATGATTCAAAAGTAAGTACCTACTATAGTCACTCACATAGTTTTCATTTTTGAAATTTGGTTATTTCTCTGATTTCTCATCGGAATTCCTTCTGCAATAGGATCAGCTAATAAAAATATACCTGAAATTTCTAGAATAATGCAAGAAGATTGGATTCATGCAATCAATCGGTAGGACTGGCCTGACATGCTGACGATCGTGTGTGTTGTAGACATTTTCAATCTATTAGCAGCATTAGCTTGAATTGCAGAAGTGGCAGAAGGCAGAAGGAATTTTAATAAGGAATGACAACATTTCATAATGATAACTATGTGAGATTACTATTTACCTGAAAAATCATATTCCCTAGTATCTTGCTGCATTTTTTGTGCATTGTACAACAGCACAATGCGAAGGCATGCTCGAATTAATGAATAGCGCAAAAAACACGATTCGTATGCCAAAATATTGTGAAAAACTATTTCAACCTTTTGATTCCTCTGTAACCAAATAAAAAAGTGAGGTTGTGTTTCAATAATTCACAGAAGAATGAGGTTGTGTTTCGATATTTTGCCTCCAGGGTCGGTCTTCGTGCACGCGACCTATGGGTTGCGTGCAAGAACTGTCAGATGACCGACACTGGAGGCAAAATATTGAAACACAATGTCACTTTTCTTATTTGTTCACAAGTGATCGAAATAGTTTTTCACAATTATTTTGGCATACGAATCGTATTTTTCTGCTATTCATCAATTCGCTCATGCCATCACATTGTGCTGTTGTAAAATGCACAAAAACTGCAGCGGAAGATGAAAGAATCCGGATGGTACATTATGGTTTAAAAGTAAGTACTTACTAATAGTCACTCACATATAGTTTTCATTTTTGAAATTTGGTAATTTCTCTGATTTCTCATCGGAATTCCTTCTGCGATAGGAGCTAATAGAAATACACCTGAAATTTCTAAAATAATGCAAGAAGATTGGATTCATGCAATCAATCGGGAGGACTGGTCTGACATGCTGACGATCGTGTGTGTTGTAGACATTTTCAATCTATTAGCAGTATTAGCTTGTATTGCAGAAGTGGCAGAAGATAGCAGAAGGAATTTTAATAAGGAATGACAACATTTCATAATGATAACTATATGAGATTACTATTTACCTGAAAAATCATATTCCTTAGTCTCTTGCTGCATTTTTTGTGCATTGTACAACAGCACAATGCGAAGGCATGCTTGAATTAATCAAAAAACACGATTCGTATGCCAAAATTTTGTGAAAAACTATTTCAATCCTCTGATTCCTCTGAATTATCCATTAATTCAAGCATGCCTTCGCATTGTGCTGTTGTACAATGCACAAAAAATGCAGCAAGAGACTAGGGAATATGATTTTTCAGGTAAATAGTAATCTCACATAGTTATCATTATGAAATGTTATCATTCCTTATTAAAATTCCTTCTGCCTTCTGCCACTTCTGCAATACAAGCTAATGCTGCCAATAGATTGAAAATGTCTACAACACACACGATCGTCAGCATGTCAGACCAGTCCTACCGATTGATTGCATGAATCCAATCTTCTTGCATTATTCTAGAAATTTCAGGTATATTTCTATTAGCTGATCCTATTGCAGAAGTAATTCCGATGAGAAATCAGAGAAATAACCAAATTTCAAAAATGAAAACTATGTGAGTGACTATAGTAGGTACTTACTTTTGAATCATAATGTACCATCCGGATTTCTTCATCTTCCGCTGCAGTTTTTGTGCATTTTACAACAGCACAATGTGATGGCATTAGCGAATTGCTGAATAGCGGAAAAATACGATTCATATGCCAAAATAATTGTGGAAAACAAGTGGAAAACTATTTCGATCACTTGTAAACAAATATGTTTTGCCTCCAGGGTCTGTCATCTGACAGTTCTTGCACGCGACCTATTACAGCGAAAGTGTCAAAAACATACAGGGACTCTACTTGCACCGAGGTCTTCAATTCCTCACCTGCCCCCTTCGCCTGTACCGCCCTCGGCACCATCATCACGGGCACCTGCAGCCGGCTCCTTGCGTTCCTCCACGGCTCCCCAGAGGCTGCCCCTCCCGCGCCGCCACTGCTCCCCCTTGGCACCTGCTCCCCTTGCTTGCCCTTGGGCGGCGGCGGGGCGCTCACCGCCACCGTGATGACCTGCCCCTCGACGGTGGTCTGGTCCAGGGCGAGAAGGGCTTTATTGGCCGCCTCTCGGGTGTCGAATTCCACGTAGGCGATGCCTGAAACCGAGAAGAGGAATGCCGTTTGCGGTCATTATGGAAAGGCCGGCGTACCTCAGTGCTTCGATGCTTCAATATCGATTCACGTCGAGGTAACGATCGTGGGTTCGAGTCCCACGAACGAAGACTTTTTCTGATGTCCTAAGAAAGTGTTTGGGATCACAGGTTGAAAGGTAAGGCCCCCGTCATTCCTTGCTCGCACAAGACTTTCGAAGACTTCTGAGGGTTGCTCGTAAGGGGGCAACCGAATGACGGATGGAACAATTTTAGAACAACAATTTTTTTAGGAGAAATTCCACATCGAGGTATTCTTCTGATGCGTATCTAAACAGCTTTGATTGTGATAAGCAACTCTTTTTTATTGACTATTCCACTCTTGATCTCGAGAACCAATCAGAATCGACCATTTTCATGGTTTCTTCTGTATTCTAGCGATATTTTTTGTTTATTAAATTTTATCGGACTTGCTCTACCAATACAGAAGCCGAATTGACCCACACGTGACCAACTAACCTCGTTTATCAGCGATAAAATTTTGACATCGTGTCTGGTCAAGATTGCTTTGGATTCAAATCTGAGACAATACCTAAGTTCCTACTTTATTTTATTTACTTATAATTCGCGTTAGTGAGATATTTTGTACGAAAGGCGAGACAATTTTATTCTGGCTGGACGTTTCATGTGTAATTTAAAAAGTTTGCATATTTGTTGACGGTCTGACACAACAATAATAGAATTCAAATTCCTTTTTGAAGTAATCTTCATTAATTACTCAAGTTATTGTGACTGACTGATATAATTACTAGCTGATGTAGCGCAACTATTAGGGTTGTTGCGCGAGGATACGAAGGTCGATGGTTCGAGCCCTCGGCGACGATATCTTTTTTTTTAATTATTCCATGTCACATAAATTCAATTTATTTTGTTTGAATTGGATAGTAATTGTATACACTCTTTTGAGAGCAACCATCTCCAAGATAACAAAAAAAATACTGTTTATCAAAATTGTACATTCCACTTTGTGAATAACTATAAGTAGGTAGTTGATTTCTAAAAAAGTAAATTCCGTATTTCATTACTATCAATATGTTCTTCTTCGCAGTTCGAGTTGGAATATACTTAAGTTATGTTTCCTATTTCTTATATACAGGGTGGGTCACGGTCGATGGCACCTTAGACGTTTACGGAGAACGGGACATAAGATCATTCTGAAAATTTGGTTACTCAAGTAATTGCTCTTGATCTATCGATCTAAAATATTTTCAGCTCTGCGGCGTTGCCGCTTCTATCGAAAAGTAGCAACAACTTTGTTATTTTAAATGGAACACCCTGTATTTCATCACATTTTCAGATTCTCTCTGAAGAGCTGATTTCATCGATGTATCACACTTGGGGTCTAGCGGAAATGATTACAGAGATATAGGGTGTGAAAAATCGACATTTTTAAACTTCAGGAATTTTTTTGTCGAAACTATTCATTATTGGTCAAGACGGCTCACATGTCCCTATCCCAACTTTTGATCAACTATCTACTGACATTTACTTGAAACAAATACAGGGTGGTGCAGAATTCAGATTCTTGATCACCCGGTATATGTCCCAATTAAATATCAGTAGATAGTTAATCAAAAGTTGAGATAGGGACATGTAAGCCGTTTTGACCAATAATGAATAGTTTCGCCAAAAAAAATTCCTTAAGTTGAAAAATGTCGATTTTTCACACCCTATACTCTGTAATCATTTCCGCTAGACCCCAAGTGTGATACATCGATGAAATCAGCTCTTCAGAGAGAATCTGAAAATGTGATAAAATACAGGGTGTTCCATTTAAAATAACAAAGTTGTTGCTACTTTTCCATAGAAGCGGCAACGCCGCAGAGCTGAAAATATTTTAGATCGATAGATCAAGAGCAATTACTTGAGTAACCAAATTTTCAGAATGATCTTATGTCCCGTTCTCCGTAAACGTCTAAGGTGCCATCTACCGTGACCCACCCTGTATATATATGTGATATATATCCGGGAAAAGAGTAACTTAGGAAAAGAGACATTTTATAACCTGTCAACAGAGATGTAATTTCTAAAAAATTTCCGTCGCACAAAAAACATTTCTTCTATTATGGTTCTTGGTTTTCTGACCACAGGGTGTCAATTTCACCAGAACCGGCAGGGGTAAGCAAACATTCAATATACTCCTTATTAGTTACTTAAATGTCCGCAACTGGGAGTGTCGCTTAGTTTGAATCCCTATTATGGGACTGACTCACTCAGGGCGATGGAGAGATTTTTCATTCTCTGTTGCCACTGGAAACTAAGGCTTTCCATCTCGTTCATCATCATCTACACCTTTCGGTTACGTAACCGAGAAAAAAAACACTACTTCCATGGATCACAGTAATTACCTTTGGACTGTCCGTTTCTTTTGGTGACCACCCTGACATCGACGGGATCATACGCTTTGAACACCTTTTCAATCTCCTCCACTGTCTTGTCGACCGGCAAACCACGCACGAACAGCTTGTTTTCCTCGGCACCAGTGGCGTACCTGAAGGCAACAATTCGTTGGTTTTTCCCCAAGATCGGTACATGACTTAATATGGTACAGGCGATTCCAAAGACTTGATAACTCGAGAAGAGAGCAATGGTATTTTTTCAATTTTTTATACATGTGTGTTTTTGTCTGAAAAACATGAATTTCATTGTGAAAATTTGAGCAAATGACAATTTATCGAGATATTTCACGAACAAGGTCGGAATTTCACATTTTTCCTCTTGTCTTGGGTACGCATTCACAACAATTTTAGCTCCTTTTTCATCATTGGACACTTTATATACTAAAGTTGTACTTTAATGACACAATTAATATACGAAAATCAACTAGAAACATGATTTGTTTGTGTTTTTTCATATTTCGTGAATAATCACAACAGCTAACGGACATTGAATGGCCCTTTCCAGTTATTTCTAGAAAAAATAAATTTTGAAATATATGGCTCTGGGATACCTTGAAAAATTTTTTTAAATTTTTTTCCATCAATTTATCGTATAAAAAATTGTTGAAAACGCCAAAATCAAAGAGCGAGTTCAAACGATTAGACATGGCCGCGAAACATGTGACGTCAGTGCGTAAGCAATTTGGATTGGTAATTCCCTCATCTTACCACAGAACATCTTACCAATTAAATGGGATGGGCTAGACGATGTTGCCAATTTGGACAGAAAGCTATGATTAGTCGGATATTCATTCCTTAGTTTTTTCATTTGAGCAAATAATACAGATGCTGTTAGATAACTCAACTAATAACTACTTACCTGAAAATGCGTGGTATTAAAAATTTGCATTGCATAAGCTGTTGGTTGGTTGATTTCTGTTGGAGAATTTTTCAAAATTGTGTGAAAAGTGAAATTTAATTTTCTATTGAATTACAGTGCAAATATTCATCACATTCCGTTTCCAGTTAAGTACTTTCAAATTCAGGTACTCACGAATTATGTACGTACCTACACCTATCTACCATAAGGAAAGAAACAAATTCTGAATCAATCAATACTAAATTGCTCACTACTACAAGCATCACTACCTTCTTGTCAATAATATTGAGAAATAAGAACAATGAAGTTATGCGGGGAATGAGGTATTTTTAACTTTGCAACATTGTAAAAACTTCACAAATGATAAGATTTCCACAATATTCTCAAACACACGACATGTTTTGCTAACACAGTAGCTTCGTCAGGTGCATTGTGTTAGCGTCAGTTGCTTCATCTCTCTCTCTCTTGTAGACATAAACCAGATTGGCAATTAAACTTTCCTGGGAATGAGTGCTTGAGATATAGTAACACTGTTCAATTTGCTGATTATAACAATTAGTCAACGAAATTCCAACATAACTAAAACCAAACTGAGTATATAAAACGCGTCTTACTGTTAGATGCCGCATCTCATTTTATCCAAGCTAATCTTGAAATTAATGGAATGCTTTGGAGTTCAGAGTAAATTGGATGTGATCAGCAATGAGTTACCAATCAACACATCACCTATTGCCTATAGTAATTTAGAATCATTGCATCCCTCGCACCATCTAGCATTCTAGCAGATAGGATCAATTCAAGGATTTTATAAAGAGCTGGCAACAGTGGAGTGATTATCAGCCGTCAGAACTCCAACTCATCAAATTGCAAGAAGACACTGACATATATTAAATAACTCATTTGTCGTTCGATTATCTCGATGAATGTGTCAGGATAACGTTTTTAACTTCCCTTCATAACATTATAGCGAAAAATGGTCAAATTGTACAATACATCCACCTGCATTCTTCGAATGTGTGTGACTGACATATTATTATTATTATTATTATTTTCGTATCGTTTCCATGACATTACTTTCGTCTCCATGAGTAACGGAGCTGGCGGTGCTAGCTAGTGGTATAGCGGTTTCAGGTTGACCATTATCTATGGCGTTCAGTACTGCAGCCATAAGCCCCGCCAATCAGCCTCGTTAGTCCCGCCATAATACTAGTTAGAACCGCCTGCCCCGCCACTCGTGTAGACGGAAGAAATGTCAAGGAAACGTCAAAGCATCAAAAATGTCACGGAACCGGAACCGTTACTGGCAAGAAGTCAAATGAATAATTTGAATTTTGGCGCTGTTGAATGCTGGTCTCTGATTGGCTTGGTCCAGAAACCCTATAGCCCCTCTACTCACAAACAAGTCGATGCATATGGCGTATCTTTACGTCGAAGGTATCTCGTAACCTGAAGAAAATCAAAACGACGTATGCGCAGCGCCAAAAGATCAGTTCACGCGTGTTTTCAATAAACAGCCTCAAGTCTACGGCCTGTACGAAAAAAAAAAAAAATCATTCGTACTTGAAGACGGGCTGTCTCTCCGTCCGCTCCGGCTTGATCTCTGACACAAAGACGGGCCTGCCGTCGATGGGGGCCCGATCTCGTGCCAAGGCGACGAGGGTTTCTTCTTCTTTGGCGAACTGCACGTAGCCAAAGCATCGAGATTTGCCTACAAAATCAGATTCGAATTTTTATGCATAGGTATGTTCTTTTTTCTACGACTATAACACAAGATTGCTCTCGTTTTACTGTGTTCGATACATCAATGAGGTACTTTGTATGTCATCAATTTAATTTCCGTATCTGATATCACAATAGTTGCGTTTGTTTGGTATCAAACCGTTACCGGTTTCATCATTCCTGTTGTTTGATTGCACACTAAATTTCATTCCGGTTGCTACTTTTCAATCCATCAAATTGAAGAGAATGATCGGAATGACAATTGCAGTAATTATCATAATTTGTCAAAATATTGATGTTTGAGGATATTTTCATTGCAAACAAAAAAAAAGATATATAATCTGAATAATAGAAAAAAATAGTTCATATTAACGTGGAGGCAATGACGCAATTAGTGAATGAATGAATGAAATGAATGAAAACCTTTAACAAAATTTAAGATCAAATGTTTTCGACAAAACACAAACCCTTCTTTTCATAAACCTTTGCAAAATGATTCGAATCGATTGCGGAATCCTCGTTATAAGAAAATAGAAATCTATAAAGAAATTGCAGAGGAAATGCAATATCATGAGTTCAATTTTACAGTAGCACAATGTTGTAATAAAATGAAGAGTCTGCTTCACAAGTATAGAGAAATAAAAGACCACAATGAGAGATCGGGGAATAATCCCAATGTTCGGTCTTGGTATACCAAATATATATTTTGGGAATTATTCTCAATAAATTTGGCAATATCGCGAAATTGCAAGAGACAGGAGCTCTTGCACCTGTCTAGAAAAATTATAGTGTATAACATGCACGGAATGCTGATTTCCTACTCGAATGATTGCAGCATTCGCCTATGGCTTCTACTGCAAACTTCATTCTCGTAGGAAATCTGTTGGAATTAGAACATACATTACACCAAGTCACCTATGTATTCAATATTCTTTTGGTTTATATAGAAACGTATGAGTTGTTGATAATGAGACTGACAGACAGTCAATTGTGTTTTTTGAAATAAAAATTTCTATCTTATCGTGTTTCTCTGGATCATCCATAAGGAAACAGTTCATTTTCCAACTGGTTATGGGCCCAGATATCGCCTGATCAAGAAATACGCAGAATATAGTTTACAAGTTTCCCAAAGCTCTGGTGAACTATCAGATCGAGATCAGAATGTCCTCAAGTAGTTCGTTTTTATCTGTGGAGAAGCTGAAAGGCCGTGAAAATTATGATACTTGGAAGTTTGCTACCCAGACACTGCTAGAACACGAAGAACTGTGGGATTGTGTCACCGGTACAGACAACGACATGAAGAAAGATGTTAAAGCAAAATCCAAAATCATTTTACTAATTGACCCAATCAATTACGTTCATGTTCAATCAGCTAAATCTGCCAAAGAGGTTTGGAATAATTTGGAAAAGGCTTTCCAAGACTCTGGTCTAACCAGAAGAGTAGGTTTGCTCAGAACTCTAATCACTACCAAGTTAGAGGAAAGTGATTCTGTTGAGAGTTATGTGAATAAAATAGTTACCACTGCCCATAAGTTATCTGCAGTTGGAATGTCCGTTAACGATGAGTGGATTGGTACTCTATTATTAGCTGGTTTACCAGAAATATACAAACCTATGTTGATGGGTTTGGAAAGCTCAGGGACTCCTATAACAGCAGATGCCATAAAAACAAAATTACTACAAGATGTTAAGCAAGAGAACGAATCTTCAGATTGCTTAGCTCTAGTCAGCAGAAAATTCAACTCCAAGAAGATGAATACACGAAGTAAAGGTGTGCGGTGTTATTCATGCAATAAATATGGACATTTTGCATCACAATGCACACAGAAGAAGAAGCCAACAGAAAATATTTTGTATACATCCTTCATCGTCAGTGAAACAAGTATCGAAGATTGGTTTATCGACTCAGGAGCATCTGCACATATAACTGCTAGAAAAGACTGGCTCGACTGTACGACAATACCATGCACTTCAGAAGTAAAAATTGCTGATAATACTTGTTTACCAGTGGAATGTATAGGTAATACAAAACTGTTCCTCGTCGCCAATGGAATTGTTACTGATGTTTGTGTAAAAGATGTTCTGTATGTTCCAAATCTATGCACAAACCTGTTATCAGTCAGTAAAATGTTGAAAAACGGCAACTCAGTTATCTTCGATGAGTCGGGATGTAGATTATACAATTCGTGTGATCAACTCATTGGAACTGCCTCTTTAGTCGGAAATATGTATAAATTGGACATACAGAAAAAGCATCAGACTTTTGTCGCAACTGTGAGTTTGGACCAAGATTTGTGGCACAGAAGAATGGGACACATGAATTTTCAAAGTTTGAAGTTACTAAATAATGGACTAGTGACTGGTGTTGAATTCAAATCGAGCACATTGAATGAACCCTGTGTTATATGTTTGAAAGGCAAACAAACTCGCCTTCCTTTTAAACACGGAGCAAATCGGGCATCTGACATTTTAGAATTAGTTCATACCGACTTGTGTGGACCCATGTCCGTAGACTCCTTGGGTGGTGCTCGATATTATTTGATTTTAGTGGACGATTTCAGCCGAAAAGTGTTCGTGTATTTTTTGAAGAATAAAAATCAGACACCCAATAAAATCAAAGAATTCAAAGACTATGCAGAGAATCAAACTCAGAAGACATTGAAAATTTTACGCAGTGACAATGGGACCGAGTATTGTAATTCAACTCTGAAAGCATACTTGCAGAATTGTGGTATTCAGCATCAAACTACAGCACCCTATACTCCGGAGCAGAATGGAGTTGCTGAACGCAAAAATCGATCCATTGTGGAAAAAGCTCGATGTATGTTATTTGATGCTGAACTCACTACTGAATTTTGGGCAGAAGCAGTCTCTTCAGCAGTGTATGTGTTGAATCGGTCACCAAGCCATGCAATTGATAAAACACCCGAAGAACTTTGGACAAAACTCATACCGAACTTGGAACATATTCGAGTTTTTGGATGCAAAGCTATGGTTCATATCCCAAAACAGAAACGAACTAAATTCGAACCGAAATCTTTCGAATGTAAGTTTTTGGGATACTGCGAGAACTCTAAAGCATATCGTTTATTTGATCTGAAAACGAGAAAGATTATCATTAGCAGAGACGTCACATTTTTTTAGACATGTCATTCAAAATTTGCACAACACCCTATAGCAAATCTTGAATCCAGTAATGACAGGAATGAAGTTATTGTCAATGTCTCGAAAAATTCTCCAGAAAATTCCGAAAGTTTTCCAAATGATGCTTCAAATCAGAAAGCTATAATGCCATCTGAAGCACATGTTCCCGCAGAATTAGAATCGGAGAAGAGTGATGATAATATTCCCAATACGACTGATGGAGATAATGGAGTGAGAAGATCATCAAGAGTCAGAAAATCTGTTGTGATGGAAGATTTTATAACATTTTCTGCCTCTAAGACAACTGAACTTCCAGATCCTGTATGTACCGAAGACATTTTCTCAAGATCCGACTCAACTCTGATGAATCGAATACCATCGATAAACTGCAAATCCAGGACATAACAGATGACGAAATAAAGGTCGCTATCAAATCTTTAAAACCAAAAACATCTCTAGGACCGGACAAAATACCTGCATATATATTCAAGGGCTGTGCAGATTACTTGATAAAACCCCTAAAAATAATCTTTAATCTTATTCTGAAAACATGTGTGTATCCCTCCAAGTGGAAAATCACTAAAATCTGTCCCATTTTGAAAGGTGGCAATAAAAATGAAATCACCAATTACAGACCAGTGGCATTAATCTGTGCTCCAAGTAAGTTATTTGAATCTTTGTTATATGTGAAAATATTTGACTATATAAATCTAGAATTGTCAGAAAAACAACATGGATTCATTTCAAAAAAATCAACTCTGACAAACCTATTAAGTTTTTCACAATCAATCAATGAAGAGATCGATAACAATGGTCAAATAGATGTCATATACACAGATTTCGCAAAGGCGTTCGACAAAGTTGACCATGATATAATTCTCAGGAAGTTGTCTGAATTGGGATTTTCTAATAATTTGTTGAAACTCTGTGCATCATATCTCGAAGATCGTCAACAGTATGTAGTGTATAAAGGAGGTACATCTTATGAATATTTTACAAATTCAGGAGTACCACAAGGGTCAAACTTAGGGCCTATATTTTTCTTGTGCATGATAAATGACCTACCGGATATTCTTGAAACTTCTGAATGCCAATTATTCGCTGACGATTGGAAGGTTTATGCGAAAATCGTCAATGAATCAGATTGTGAAAACTTACAAAAGGATATTAACAGAATAATGTCTTGGTCTGAAAATAATAACCTATACTTCAATGTTGGAAAATGTTTCTCCGTAACATTTACTAGAAAGAAAAATATAGTTGACTTTACATACAAATTGAATGACACTGCCTTACAAAAAAAAAACCGGAGCTATGGATTTGGGTGTTTATTTGGATAATGAACTGAACTTCAATACACATATAGATAATATCTCTAAACGGGCGTACAAACTACTTGGATTTATAATAAGAAATTCTTGCAAATTCAATGACTTAAAAACATTATGTTTCTTGTATAATGCTTATGTAAGAAGCATATTGGAATATGCTTCGGCAGTATGGTCTCCTTTTTACGAGCGTCATAAAAACGAATTGGAGAAGGTCCAAATAGTAATTTTCCTAACAAGTGCGGAAAGTGATTCTTTCCCGCACGTGACTGCCGTTGACACGAACGACGCGAAGCGGAGTTCGGGCAAGCAGTCGAGTGCGGGAAAGACACTTTCCGCATGAGTTAGGAACAATATTTTTTCTACAAGCGTAGGAAATTGATTGAATCGTTCAATTACCTAATTATTCAAGAAAATAGGAACAACTAACAAGAGATATATATTCTCTATCTATTAATTATTAGTAATAGCTATTTTGAACTTACAGTTTGACGCATTATGTTGGTTCATTGATGCG